GTGGGTGGGAGGTGGGAACAGTGGCAGAAGGTCACACGGGTGGTGGGGTTGGTGATGGAACACGGATTCCCTGAAACAACTGTATTATGAGCAACCTTGCACATCTCTCTGTTTAAATAAAAAAAAATTTTTTTAAAAAGATAATATAATGGCAAGTTTAAAGGTAATATAATTACAAGTTTCTTTCCCTCCTTGTGTTTACAAAGCAAGTGTCCTGAGCAAAATATGTATCACTGTACTGTAGGTACCTTGTCACATTGGAATAAATGTACCACAGCCAGCAACAGCTGGACTCGGGGGGGGGGGGGGGGGCAGAGGTACCTGCATCCAGGCCAGGAGTGACGGCCGACGCGAACACAAACCAGAGGAAGAACGGGGTTAGCAGAGCGATCTATCAGAAGTGCACCCGGATAAGTATGCATGTGCTCTCTTCATAAGATTATCTACAGCGGAACAATAAAAACGTATTTTTGGACTTGTAACACGTATAAGAATAATGACACGAAGGGTAGAACTGAAACTCAGAGGAGGAAAAGCCTATTTCTCATCTACCTGAAATACACAGATAAATTAAAATGTATTATAAGCCCTAGAGCAGGCATTAAAAATAACTTCAATACATACATAAGATCATTAGTGGGATTATTATGTTACACTAGAAAATATTTTCATTTAATGCAAAATAAGGTTTTCAAGGAGAAAGGCGGACACATCAAAGACACAAGCCAACAGAAAACAAAAGGCAGGCAAAAACAAGACAGCGGGGAGGACACTGGCCTCGCACGCGACCAGCCTGTGTTTGATCCCGGGTACCACACTTGGCCTCCTGAGCACTGCCAGGAGGGATCCCTGAGCACAGAACCAGGAGCAAGCCCTGAGCACTGCTGGGTGTGGTCCGGACCCGAACTCCGAAAAATAAAAATAAAAGGAAACAAAGGCAAAATAGAAGACCCAGCTTATCCCATGAAACACTGAGGGTCAGTGGGCCTCATGGTCCAGGAGAGAGGTTAGACTCGGCAGCTCGGATGAATGCCATGTGCAGGGGACGCCTTTGAGTCCACAGCAGGAAGAGGGTGTGGTCAGGGCCTGCATCCTCCTCAGAGCTCGGGGACTGGGCCAGCAGCAGAGGATGAACCCCGAGAAAGGCGAGACAAAGGAGGGACACTTCACAGAGACCAAGGGACACCTGGCGATTACCTCTGACCAGACGGAGAGAGACCGGCTCTGTGGAGGAGCTGGCCAGGAGCCCGTGGGCAGGGCCTTGGTTCACCCTGGAAAGCCCGAGAGGAAAGGTCTGCCTCGGCCTCGGCCCTGTGGGGAAGAGAGAGAAGCCCACGGGAAAGGTGTTGCCACAGCACCGGCTCTCGGGGTTTCAGAATCCTGGAAGAACACAAGAACGACAGGACGCGAGAGAGGAAACTCAACCGTGTTGGTCTGCCCTCAGAACGAGCACCCCGAACACGAGAATTCGAACATGCTGTGGGTTACACTCACATGCGCACACATGCACGCTGCCCACGCATACCACACAGATGGGGCATCACGCTCTTACACACGGAGCGCTCGACCGTCACTTACCAGCATGCCCACACTTGCATGCCTGACGAGCACAGCCTCTCGCGGCTGAGGGACATGATGTCCCCCTGCAAATAGGGGGCGGGCTGGGGGTCCGTGGCTCTGTCTAGCAGAGACCGTGATGGTGATGGTGATGGAGGTGATGGTAGTGGTGATGGTGGTGATGGTGATGGTGACAATGATGGTGGTGGTGGTGGTGATGGTGGTGATGGTGGTGGGGCTGGTGGTGGTGATGGTGATGGTGGCGGGGACTGTGATGATGGTTTTGTGGTCAGTGGTGACATCTAACAAAGAACTTAGCCCTTGGCCCTCTTGAAGAGTGTCTACACTGACTCTAGGCGGGTAAGAGGTGCCATACCGAAGGGACAGTAGGAGGCGTCTTCGCCAGCCCAATTCTGGTGCCGTGCACATTCCTATGGGAAAACCTCGGCATCCCCACAGCGCCCACGTTGAGCAAACGCGAAGCACATCCCTGCCGTGGGTTTATCTATTTGGTTTTGGAGCCACGTGCAGCGGAACTCAGCGCTCGCTCCTGGCTCTGCACTCAGGATCTACCCCGGCAGGTCTGGGGTTGAACTGGGTTGGCCGAGTGCAGGCAAGCGCCGTCCCCAGTGCTCTCTCACCCGCCTCTGCATCTCAGTTCTGGACAGGCAGTGTGGGGTCTGCCCGGGGCGAGTCCTGAAAGAGCCTCTGGCAACATCCCCCCTCATCCCCGTCCTCCTGATGGCAGCACCTGATGGTGATTCCCACATGCAGGCTGGGGCACCCCGGGGGGTCCCGAAATTGGCTCCAGCCGATGCCAGGAGCCCGGGACACGAGACCTGGGAGTGATGTGCGGGCAGCACGGGGAAGTGCGTTTCCAGATTCATCGCGGCGTCCCGGCCGGGTGCTGTGTGTGGGACCTGGGGGAGACCGGGGCTCCCCGTGGAAGTGGCATTGGGGCTGCCGGCCAAGGGGCCCCTGTGAGAGCAGGTGAGCACATTGGACACCGCCCCCGCCCCCAAAGAGGTGCTGAAGGAACTGCTGTCACCGGCTTGTGCGAGTGACGGGGTCACGGGGTGCAGGGGACCCTCTACTCTGCTCAGAGGCACTCGACCCCAGGCGACCCATGACACTCTCGTCCCTCCTGCCCCCAGGCTGGATGCCGAGCCCGCCACGGCCACCAGGCACCTGCCTGCACCGAGGAAGTGCACTGAGGGTGGCCTGGCCGGCCTTCCTGAGCCTCAGCTTCTAGATTCCTCTAGAACATTCCGTGTGTGGTCTCTGTCCGACTCACTATCTTCCTCTCACCCATCGGTGGAGCCTCGTGCATCTGCCGGCAACACGTTTCCTGCAGCAATGGACCTGCCAAGTCAGGAGACCCCGTGGGATGGAGGGACGAAGGGGAGTGGGTGGGCTCAGTGCCCTGCTCTGGGGGGCTGGTCAGGGCTCGGGCTAGCTGGGCGGGGCCCCGGGACACCCACATTTCTTTTTTTCTTTAAGTCACTTTTTTTAAAATTATTTTTTATTAGTGAAACACCATGAGGTACAGTTGTAGACTGACAAATTTTTGTGCTTGGGTTTCAGTTATACAATGATCAAGTACCCATCCCTCCACCAGTGCCTATTTCCCACCACCATGGATCCCGGTATCCCTCCCACCCCCGATTCCTTCCATCTCACCCTGCCTCTGTGGCAGGGCATTCCCTTTTGTTCTCTCTCTCTTATTGGGTGTTGTGGTTTGCAAAAGAGGCAATGGGCGACAGTCATGTTCGGTCCATAGTCTACTTCCTGCATGCTTCTCCCATCCTGGGAGGATCCTCCCAACACCCTTTATTTGACACCCCATTTCTAACTTGCGTGGGCAAGCCCGGCCAATGGGATGGAGCCGGAAAGCCGCGAGGCCACACTTGGGAGCTGGTCCTGGGGGGCCAGGTCTCCCCTTCTCTCGGTTGCACTCCTGCTTGGGAGCCTGGGGGGAGCCGGCGCTGTTGAGTTCACGCTCAGACTCGTGCTGACGGGCACTGTCCACTAACGTCCATCAGTGCTGACGAGTGCCCTGGCCCTCACCCCATTTCACTGCCAGTTCCAAAGACACACAAACATGTGTATGTCTGTGTGTGTGCACGTATGTGTGTGTCTGTGTGTGCATATGTATGGGTCTCTGTGTGTGTCTGTGTGCGTGTGCATGTCTGTGTGTCTGTGTGTGCGTGTGCATGTCTCTGTGTGTCTGTGTGTGCATGTGCATGTCTGTGTGTCTGTGTGTGCGTGTGCATGTCTCTGTGTGTGTGTTAAGGCTCCATCAACACTGCTGGTGCAGTGTACCCTCAGTCTGCGCCCTACGTCCACCTCGGTCAGCTGTTTCTGCGCAGATGACACCCGTTTTCTGGACCAGCGTTTGTGTCTGCTGTCTGTCACCCTTGTCCTCTTCATGGGCTCCATGGTCCAGTGTCTCTGGCACTCACCCGGGTCCGTGCTGCCCCGCCAGCAGGACCACAGCTGTGCTCCCGCGGGGATGCGGCCACAGTGGCTCATGGCGGGCTGCCTGATGCCACCAGAGCAGCGGCACCTTGGGGTGTGGGTGTGGAGTCTCTGTGGGGCTTCATTAGGGCTCATGAATCAGGCCGCATCACTCTGAGGGGGAAGGAAGTCCTGCCAGATGCCATTCAGAGAGAGACAGAGGGAGCGGGAGGAGGCGACGGGCAGGGCGAGGGAGGAGGGTCTGGGCCAGGAAGCGGGTTTTGGTTTTGTCTATCAAAACTCTAAGTGTTAATTCTACTATAAACAGGCTACTCCAGTTACAGTAAAGTTAAAATGAAGGAAGGATGAAAAGGAGAAGAGGAGAAGGAGGAGGAGGAGGAGAAGAGGAGGAGGAGGAGGAGGAGGAGGAAGAGGAGGAGGAGCAGGAGGAGGAGGCATGTTCCTTCTCCGTGCTCTTCGCGCCACCACAGGGCACAGCCCCGAGGGAGGCTTCGGGGCTCCTGTCCACGGAGTCACTGGGCCTGAGGGTCTGGGCGCAGTGATGGGCCCTGAGGCAAGGCACACTCGTGGGGCTGGGGCACCAGTTCGTCCCTTTTGGTTCCTCTCGTGGGACCCCGGGGGCCTTTGGGGCCAGGTCGAGGGTGCGTGTCCGGGGGTCTCCGAGGGCCCCTTCGGCCGCGTGTCGGGGGCCCCGTCTGACCCGAGCCCCTCTCGGGGCCTGTGCTGAGTGACCCAGCCCACTTACCGCTGCCCCTTCCAGCAGGCAGAGTTCCCCCCGTGCCCCTGCCCCCCGCTGGAGCAGGAAGTGAGCAGGTGAGCAGGCCGTGGGGGAGGGGCTGCTGGCCTGAGGGGGGTCCCCCCCGCCCCCCCCCGCCCCTCCGGATCCTGCAGTCACATAAACAAACTGCTGCCTTTTGATTCTATAATTTTATTTCAAAGGAAAAAAACCAACGAAACAACCTTTGCGTTTGGGGGGGGGGGGGTTATCTTACACTTAGGAGCGCGGAGGAGCGACGGCGCCGGGGACCCTGGGACAGCGGCAAGGCCAGCGGGTCCAGGCCGGCCGCAGGGACGCACCCGCACGGGCTCTGCAGGAAGGACCCAGACCAGAGGCCCCGGGGGCAGCCGGAGCTGACGGTGAGGGGCCAACCTGCAGGGGCCTGGGGACACGCGGCCCTGAGCTGAAGGAGGCGGTGCTGAGGGGCTTGGGTGCCCCAGCAGAACAGGAACCGGGAGGTGGCGTGGAGCAGGCCAGACCCCGGGGCCGCCGTCCTGACTGGGCACAGCGGCAGCGAGAGGAGCCATGGTGAGGGGTGCCCCCGCCCTGGGCGACCCCCGGCCCGTCCCCGCTCCGGGCAGCCTCGCCGGCCACGCTCAGGCCTCCTGGGCCTCACTGCCGTCCCTTTGGCTCTGGATCACCGTGGCCGCGGGGGCGCCGTCCTGCGTGTAGATGACCATGCTGGTCAGCTGCTCGGCGCCGGGGCCCACCCCGGCCTGCAGGAGCTCCTGCGAGTCGGCCGCCTCGATGACGGTGTGCGAGAACACGGGGTCCTGGGCGCCGGGGGGCAGCTCGGTGACGATGTAGTGGGTGGGGCCGTCAGGGAAGCCGCCGCCCGCCTCGCGCACCACGGCCTGCACCAGCTCCTCGGTGACGATGATCTGCGAGATCTCACCGTCGGCGGCGGCCAGGCCGGCATGGGGGTGCGCGGGGGCCCCCTGCACGATGATGTGGGGCCCATCCCGCGCCAGCATGTGCACGGCGCCCTCGGGGTTGAGGATGACCTGCGTCACGCCCTCCTTGGCCGCGTCCCCGCACACGGCCAGCTGCAGCACGCCCTGCACCACCTTCTTGAGGGCCGCCTGCGCGCGGCCCGGGGAGGCGGGGGGCACCGCGGACCGCCCCAGCGGGCTCAGCGCCTCCGGGGGCTCGGCCGGGCCGTCCTGTGGGCCGGGGGGCGTGTCTGGCCCGGGCAGCAGCTGCAGCACGTCCTTGGGGCCCGGTGGGCCCTTGTCCTCGGCGCCACCCAGCTCGGTGACGGCACACAGCAGCGCGTCCAGGGCCGAGGCCGGGTCAGTGGGCGCCAGCTCCCCGGGCTCGGGCTTACCGGCCTCCTGGCCGCCGGTGCCTCCCGGGCTGTGGGGAGCGTCCCCCCCGGGCCCCTCCACCGCGCCGCCCACCACCACCACCTGGGTGACCCCGCTGTCCAGGGCCCCGGCCGCCCCGCCGCCCCCGTGTGGGCTGCCCTGGCCGCCGGTGATCACCTGCCCATCCTCCGTGATGTGTACCACGCGTGCCACCTGGCCGGCCAGCGCCAGCGTCTGCAGCGTGGCGGCCGCCGTGTCCTCCGCCGACGCGTCCAGGGCGAACTCGCCGTCGTAGCCCTGGATGATGATCAGCTGCTGTACCTCCTCGGCCGCCGCTGGACGCCGGCTGCTTCGGGCCGGGGTCTCATCCGCCAGCGCGGCCGCCGTGAAGGGGCTGTCCGTCTCCACGAAGGTGGCGCCCTGGCCCTTGAGCCGGCACTCGTAGGACTTGGACACGATGCCTGGGGAGAGAGGGTGCTAACGTTAGGGGCGGGTGCAGGGCGGTGGGCCTGGACCCCCGCTGTCCCCACTGCCCTGCGTGCCGTCCCCACGGCACCTCCACCCCCTTTGCTGGCCTTGCCTGCCGGGCACACGCCTGTCCACCCTCTGCTGGGGTCGGGACAGAAGCTAGGACGGGTGGGGGGCGTGGAAGAGCCGCCGAGATCCGGCTCCTGGGGACACTCGCAGCTTCTCTGAACTTGGGGCGGGAGAAGCCACCTGCTGACCACTAAAGTCAGCCACGTGGGTGGATGCCATGGCCTGACCCCAGCACGGGCGGTTGCGGGGACACGGCGATTGGTAAAGGGAATTGCTGAATCCAAAGCCCGTCCTCGGGTTCAGCGACCGAGTAACTCTGGTCACTGTCGGTCTGGCCCTGAAGACCTGCCTATAAACGGCTCCGTCAGATGGAGAAAGATCCGCCCGGGAGACGCGTCCCCTGGGCCGGTCAGGCTGACGCGGACTGGCGCGGCGGAGTGGACGGCCACAGGGACGCGGGTCTTGGGCATCCTGTCGGCAGACCGGGCTGCACACCCGCGGCCCCCGGGAGCTTGGCACTCAGGGCACCAGCTCCTGACGGAGGTTCTCAGCAGCCCTGCTCCTCAGACAGGCGGAAGCGGCGACTCGCCCGAGTGGCCCCTGGGTGGGCAAGAGCGCGGGCAGGCGCTTCTCCAGAAGGTTCTCTCGCGGCCATGAGGTCTGGCTGAACAGAGCCTCCCCGCCTGCCTCAGGCCCCGCCACCCGCAAGGCCCAGAGCCCGCCGCGGTGGCGGAGGCTGGCAGGAGGCTCCCGGCTGAGACGCTGGACCGGGCTCGTCGTCCCAGAGGCCCCAACGGCGCTGAAACCCCAAAATGCCCTGCAGGAGTGGGGACCCCCGGGCGGGCAGGGGCCTGGAACCTGCCCACCGCCTCTGTGCCACGCAGCTCCACGACCGTTCCCACTTTTCCCCACACGATAAATACCTTACGCTTTTGTTAAGCTTACATTTAATTAAAATGTACAGAATTTGTGCCGTGAACGCGAATGAAACAAATAAAACAAGGGCCCCCTCTTTTGAAGGCATACGTTGTGAATGAAAAATGCCATTACGGGCTAAAGAATTTTGCAGTAAACAGGGCCTACAGAGAGAAGTTTCCCCCGTAATGACATCCATAAAATACACAAATGGCACTTTTAGCGCCATCCTGAATATGGCATTTTCTGTGCTCTACACACAATCTAAATGGTTTGATCATAGAGCATAATACTCCATTGGGTTTATAGAACAATCAATGTTCCATAAAATGATGTATTTATCCAATAGTCGACTCAGCAGCGCTGGCGTATGACGGGGCAGGACGGCCCGGACTCCTCTCCGAGCACACGCCAGCTGTAAAACTTATCTCCACGCACTTCGGCAGCTTCATCTCATCTGCCTCAAGTCATTTGTTGGCGCCTCGGCCTGGGTTAAAAAAAACTCGCAATAAAAATTCATAGGATCTTCGGGAGAATGAACGCCCGTGACAACAGGAAGGTCACACTGTGTCTCCACTCAAGGGGTCAGAGGTCGGCGGCAGTTAGAAGAGCGAAAGTAGATTTCATGCATCGCGTAGCAGATAAAGACGGCATTACCCGGGCCGGGCGCGGGGCGGGCGCGGCTCCCACAGCCCGGCTGGCGGCCGGCACGCTCGGCTCCCGGCGCTGGCCCGGGCCGTGGCTGGGCCGGGCACCCTGGCCGCGGGAGCTGGCCGGGCGGAGGCAGCGTCGCCCAGGGAGACCCGACCAGAGCAGGCGACCCGGGACTCCTGAGACCCTCTGCTTGGCACCCACCAAGTCCGGCTACTGGAATAGTCACGCCAACGCGCTGCAGCCGGATTCTAAGGCCAGAAACGAGTTTTCCAAGTGAAACGAAAAATCGATGAAAACGCAACCTTTGACAAGTTTCAGAGTTGGAGGAACGGTAGCTTTTGAGGCGGAGGAGGGGGGGCTCACACCTGGCCGTGCTTGGGGATCACTGGTGGTGCTCGGGGACCCTCTGGGGCGCTGGACATCGAACAGGGGTCGGTCACATGCAAGGCCAGCGCCCGGCCTGCTGGACAGTCACTCCGGCCCCGTAAGTCACTCACAGCACTCATCACCGACTGCCGACCCGGTGACTCTGGGGCGTGCTCACCCGCAGGGAGGATGACCTGGTGACCCCGCAGGACACCCCAAGCCCATCAGGAGAAAGCGCCACTGTGCCTCCCACATCCAAGGAGCCCCCGTCCAGGGTGGCAAGCCCCGCAGAGAGGGCCGGCTGGCGTCTGCGGCTCTGGACCCGCCTGTCACTCCCAGGGGTGCCAGATGAGTTCTGGTGGCTTAGGGGAGTCCCACCCAGCAGGGCTCCGTGTCCGCCTCTCACCGTCTCTCTGGTCGCACTCGTCCACTGGGCAGCCACGGTCACTGCCCCGAGTGAGCCGTGCTCAGTGGCCTGAAGGGCGTGGCGAGACCCTGGGAGTGTGCTGGGAGGTCTGGTGCCCTAACGGTGAGGCGGGGACTCGGGCCCAGGGGAGAGACGTGTGTGAGCACGTGTGTGTGCGTGTGCGTGTGCGTACGTGTACGCGGGCATGTGTGCGCGTGCCTGTGTGACGCCCTAACTGCAAAACAGGAATCCAGCTCAGGAGTTCGAAAGGTGTGGGTGCATGCATGCGTGTGTGCGAGTGCGTGTGCACATGTGTGTGCATCCCCTGCTGTGCCCTGCCCTGCAGTGCCCCCTCCCGAGCTGCCTCACAAGCACAGCCCGGCGGGGTGAGTGGCGGGGGAGGGAGGAGAGAGCCTGGACATGCAGTGCCAGGGACCATGGCAGGGCCGAGCCGACCCCTCCGGTGTGCAGCCCCACCTGCAGAGGGGCCGGGGAACAGCCGCATGCCACGGTGACACGGTGACAGGCGAGGGATGACGGGCGCGTGCCAGCGGGAGCCCTGAGAAACTGGCGTCCCTCACCTGACCGCGCTCAGGGCTGGCGGGAACCTGGTGGCCCCAAGGGCCTCCGACCACAGTCCCCCGAGCAGACGCTGAGCTGCTGCTGCCCCTCACCTCGCCTGAGCAGACACGGGACGGCCGAGGCTGGGCCAGCGGGGCAGGTGCCGGGCCTGACAGGGCTCAGGAGGAGCCGGTGTCCCCGGCCCGCCTGTCCAGACCTGCAGGCCAGCCCCGGGTCCCGGCTCCTGAGGGTCTCCTCCAGGATGCTTCTAGAAGAAACAGCCTGGGCCTGAGTGGGAGGAAGCGTCCCTGCTGGTCACTGCCCAGCCCTGGCTGTGGGGTCTCCGCAAGCCCTGGTTTCCTCACCACCTGGGGTCTGGGCGCCCACAACACTGCGGGGGGCCCGGCACATCAGCGAGCGCCAGCATCCTGCGTCCTAGCTCAGAGGGCCTGACACTGTCAACGAGGGAGGCGACTCCTGCGTGAGCCCGAGGAGGCCCTCCGGGCGGATGCAGGTTTCTGGGGGGGCAGAGCATGGCTCCAGCCCACATCGGGGAACAGGGAGAGAAACGCCCCTGGCCTCAGGGCTGCTGCGGCCGTGGTCACAGCCTGCTGGCGCCACTCCTGGTGAGTGTGGGGTCAGGCCAGCCAGCACCAGCACAGGGCGGGGCCGTCAGGGCTGTGAGACGCCCGTCAGGGTCTGCGGAAAGGAAGCAGCCGCTGTCAACGCATCAGAGCCAAACAGATGCTCCCCGCGGAGCAGAGACCCTGGGCAGAGAATGCCCCAGGGCGAGTCTCCCCCGGGAAGCTGTGGCAGGGCTGTGCGCCATGACCCTCACAGACAGGCCAGTGGTTGACAACTGTCCAGCCGGAGAAACTGCAGGTGGGCCTGGAGGGGGCGCTCAGGGCTCACCACCGGCGGTTTGTCCCATGGGACCATGGGAGACTGCAGCCCCTGGTCCTCCCACGCCCGCAGGGTGTGCTGGTCCTGGTGCTCCAGGGCGTGTCTGCGCATGGATGGGTCGTGTGGGATGGGGGGTGCCCATCTTCCCCTGACCAGTCCCCGTGGCTTCCCCTGGCCCAGGCCGTATCCCCCCACAGAACTGCGGCCCGGGAGCCCACAGGGACCAGTGAGCGGCCAGCCCCCACGGCTGCGACGGGGGTCTGTCCCACGCCCACAGCACCGGCCCATCCTGCGGCCAGGTCTGGGTGTGGCTCAGGCAGTATTCCTACACCCCCACGAGGGGCGGCACAGGGTGGGGAAGCGTGCATCTGTCTGTCCGTCCGTCCAACCATCCGTCTGTCCGAACTGGGCAGTCCGTTTGGGAGAACTTCCGGGACAGCACCCAGGAGTGGTGGTCAGACCGGGCTCAGCGGGGAGGTCAGAGCCCAGGGCCAAGCCACCTGAGGGGCTCGGCCCGGTAGAAGGGGGGTCTCTCCCAGGCCGCTCCTGCTTAGGGGCGCCGTCCACCTCCGAATCGCGTCAGCCTGAGTTCAACCATCTTTGGTCTGTCTGGGGCTGCCAACGCGGCCGCAGCTCTGGGCACCCACAGCTGACTTGGACATCCGGGAACCCGGGCGTTCCAGCTCTTAATGATTCTCCGTTCAACACACATTAACATCGAGTCAGCGTCAGCTCGCGGCCGGCTTTTAAGGAATTCATCATTTATTTTAATGAATAATCCACTGGGAGAGACGGGCGTGATCGATGGGCACAATAAATAAGCACCAAGTGGGTGCACGGCGTCCACGCGCAGCCGGCCCTGGGGAAGTGCTGGTGTGGCCGGGGCCGACGGGAGAGGCCGGCAGGGGACTCGCCAGGACAGAACGGGAACCTGGCAAGGGCCACGACAGATGGCAAGGAAGCCACTTAGGGCGTGGGCATGCGTGTGCGTGTGTGTGTGCGTGTGTCAGGGTGCGACGTGTGTGAGACGGGGCCCATGTATATGTGTGTGGGGGGGTACCTGTGTGTGTGAGGGGACCCCTTTGTATACTGTGTGTGCGGATGTTTGTGGGGGGTGCC